TTTAGTTTTTAAAACATCTGACTTGTAGAAGAACATTTTACTTTATTTATTACTGATGGTTGCTTTTTTCCCCATCATTAAACCTCTTTTCCATACTTTATGCATTTTAAAGACACTCATTTGTATTAACAGGTGAATATGGGTAAAAAGTAGACGGTATGACCAGGTGCAGTGGCTCACAACTGTAGTCCCAGCACTTTGAGAAGCTACGGCAGGAGGATTGCTTTAGCCCAGGAGTTCGAGACCAGCCTGGGCAACATAGCAAACCTCATTACTACAAAATATTCAAAAAAAAAAACTAGCCAGGCTTTGGTGGTACATGCATGTAGTCCCAGCTACAGGCTAAGGCAGAAAGATTGCCTGAGGCTGAGGCTGCAGTGAGCTGCAGTCATGCAACTGCACTCCAACCTGGGCAAGATCCCACCTCAAAAAAAAAGAAAAGAAAAGAAAAAAAGACATGCTGAAATCAAGGTGCCACTGTACTACAGCCTGGGTGTCCAGTGAGACCCCGACTTAAAAAAATATATATTTGGCAAGTTTTCTTTGTATTATTTTGCTCTTGCAGCTTTTCTGTAAATTTGCACTTATATCTAAATAAAAGTGTTCAAAGTGTATATGTAAGAGTAATATATCGTGTAAAAAAAGTGTCCAGAATATGGAGTCCTTATGGCAATGATCTTAAAAAGACAACTAAATTGAAAAGTGGACCTGTAATCCCAGCACTTTGGGAGGCCGAGGCGAGTGGATTGCCTGGGCCCTGCAGGTTCGAGACCAGCCCGGGCAACTTGACGAGACCTCATCGCTACAATAAATCAAAAATTAGCCAGGTGTGGTAGCGCGTACCTGTAGTTCCTGCTACGTGGAAGGCAGAGGCAGAAGGATTGTCAGAGCCCAGCAGGTTGAGGCTGCGGTGGCCGTGAGCATACCACTACACTGTAGCCTGGGTGACAGAGTGAGACTCCAACTCAAAAACAAAATAAAATAATTCTTACAAAAAGGTAAATAAAATCTTGGGTCCTAGGGCATATTTTCTGGCTTCCTTTCAGTCAAACTTCTAGACTTCATATGGGAAAACTAATTTTTAAAAATGCAGAACTAAGCTGGGCTCGGTGGCTCAGCCTGTAATCCCACGCCTTTGGGAGGCTGAGAAGAGTGGATTGCCTGAGCCCACGGGTTCGAGATCAGCCTGGGCGGCGAGACCTCATCTCTACAATAAATCAAAAAATCAACCGGGCGTGGTAGCATATGCCTGTAATTCTGGCTACTCGGAAGGCTGAGTTGGAAGGATCGCCGGAGCCCAGCAGGTCGAGGCTGCGGTGGCCGGGAGTGACCACTGCACTCCAGTCTGGGCGACAGAGTGAGACTCCAACTCAAAAAAAAAAAAAAAAGCAGAACTAAAATTGCAAATCTTTTACTTTCTTAAAAGTTTTGTTTTCCTGATTGTCTTTTACTAAAAATGCATGAGTTTAGAAACTTTTGGGTAGTAGAATTGCAGTCCAGCCGGCCCTATTTCTGTTTGTTTAATGAATGAGACTTGTAGTCTGCACTAGGTTTCCCCTAGACTCTCGGACCTGAGGAAAGAAATTCTGACTTACCTGTTGTTAAAGCATAGGAAAGTAAAGCACTTCAAACTCCACCACCTAGAGATGCCGATGGCTAACACCTTAGGAAGAATTTATCTCATATTTTTCTATACAAATGCATTCACACATATTTCAGTTCTTTAAAAGAGATGACGGAATTAGACTATGAATTTAACTGCCTAGTTCACTTGCTGTATCAGTGTTTCTCCTGTCATTAAGTACTCCACAGCTTTATTTTAAGTGGCTATCTATGGCAGTGTTCGTTGATGGAAATAATTTAATTATTTTTTGTCTTAAATGTTTTAAATTGTAGAAATACAATACAGTGAAATGCACAGGTCACAGATGCATTCAGCTTAACGAATGCTTATAAAGTGAACAATCCTTTTAACTGCCACTCAGATCAAGTTATCAAACATGGCCAACAGCCAGGAGCCCCCTCAGTGCTCCTTCCCACTTAAAACCCCATTCTTCTTCTCCCTTAGTGTAACTGCTGTTCTAACTCTCATAAAATTATTTTCTTGCTTGTTTCCTACCTGTGTTTGTATCTCTAAGACTATAGTTTCATTTTGCTGGCCTTTAAACTTTTTACAAATAAAATCATTGCAGTATGCATTCTTTTGTGTATGGTTGTTTCAGTATTTTGTTTTTAGGCTTCATCCATGTTTTTGTGAGTTTGTTCAGTTTTTAATTCCTGTATGATCATCTGTTTATTGAATATACTCCCATTTATTGATTCTATTATTAATGGCCCCTTTAGTTGTTCAGAGTCCAGTTTATAAGTGCTGTATCCGTGAACATTCAGGTTGCGCTTTTTGATGTGTATATGCATGTACTTCTTTAGGGAATCCAAACTCTCAGAGGGACATGACTGGGTCATAGGATGTTTGTGTCTTCAGCTGTACCAGATAATATCCAACTATATTCTCTAATGGTTAGCTCAGTTTTCAGTGTACCTATTCCACATCTTTATTGACACTACTTAGTAGTGTTAAAATTTAAATTTTAATGCCAAAATTAAAATTTTACCCATTCTGGTGGCTGATGGGGTCACCAGCCATATCTTGTTATGGCTTTAATTTGCGTTATTTTGTGTTTTTCTTATTGTTTTAGAGAGGTTAACTACCCTTCATGTGTTTTTGTGTTTTTCTTATTGTTTAGAGAGTTTAAATACCTTTCATGTGTCTGTTAGCTATTTGGATATCCTCTTCTGTGCAGTGCCTAATTTAGATTATTTTTCTTCTGAGTTGCCGTTTTCTCAGTGATTTACGTAGGCTAGGTTACAAGTTCGTTATTGGTTATATGAGCTGCAGATATCTTCTCTAACTCTAGGTAGCTTGACCTTTTCATTCCATTAATGGAGTCTTTTTTTTTTTTTTTTTGAGTTGGAGTCTCACTCTGTTGCCCAGACTGGAGTGCAGTGGCCGCTCCCAGCCACTGCAGCCTCGACCTGCTGGGCTCCGGTGATCCTTCCGTCTCAGCCTTCCGAGTAACCGGAATTATAGACACGCACTACCATGCCCGGCTGATTTTTTTTTTAACTGTGGAAATGAGGTCTCGCCAAGTTGCCCAGGCTGATCTCGAACCCGCTGGTTCAGGCAATCCACTCACCTCAGCCTCCCAAGGCGCAGGATTACAGGCTGAGCCACCGAACCCGGCTAATGGAGTCTTTTAATGAATAGAAGGTCTTGATTTTAATGTAGTGTAATTGATTTTCTCCTTTGTAAGGGCTAATGCTTTTCATGTCCTCTATGAATCTTAGAAATAAAGGTATTGAGTTAAAAGATATATGCATTTTTTTAGGTTTTGCTAACAGTGTACTCTCCCACTGGCAGTGTATGAACCTTTTGATACCATTTTTACTTTCACCAAGAGTATGTGTGATTTTCCCACACTCTTGCCAGAACTGAAGATTTGGGGTCAGCCTTGCCAATGTAATAGACTTCGTCAATCCATTAACAAGTATTTTATCTTAGTGTTCTCGTGAGAGTCACATGTTAAATTAGTTTCATCATTCCAAGAACATGTCAGTCAAATAAGCATAACTGAAAGATTAATACTAAAAATATTATTTAGCTTTTGATTCTGAGGAGCATTTACAGCCAGTAGAGAAAAGAGATAAAGATCTAAATGCTATTTTAAAAAGTTAATACAACATGATATACAACATGATATACATGATATGCATAACAAATAAATTGGTGAAATCTTAATGTAGAGGATCAAAGGACCTGTGAAATTGATGAGTTAGATTGTTGTGGGTTTCTCTTTTAAATCTGTGATAACAGTTTTTGAGAGGTAGAATTGTGACCGTGACTTTACTGTTTTTCACACACTTTTCTTCAGAGAAGATGGCATTCCCTCCTCTGCCCCAAATTATTGATCTCCTCCTCTCTCCACTCCACAATAGTCATTCGTGTTCCTTCCTAGTTTTGAGGCATGGGACAGCTCCTGAGTTCCCCTCTGGAATGGGTGGAGTTTAACTCTGAGACTGCACACATGAACTTGTTGGAAGCAAGAGATGAGATGGACTCTCCTCTACACTGCAGCTGTGTTGCCACCGTCTCAATTGGTTTAGATAGTCAGTGTTTTCCCTGGACTTTTGTCATAGTCTTAACTCTTTTTCCTGCTTCCAGACTTCACATGGTTGCCAGGAAGAAATTTCTAAAACGCAGATCATTTCCCTGGTTAAGCCTTCAGTGACTCCAGAACAATCAAAATCTCAAACCTTCCACACAGTGCCTCATCATCTGTTCTTTTGCTCACTCTCTCTTTCTAGTCTCCTGCGTATCCAGTTCCCCACACCCCTACAGAAATCTGTGGTTCCCCTGAGTTTGGAATATTCTTTCACGTTTGCTCTTCCCACTATCTAGAATGTCCTACTGTCTCCCTACTGTCAACCCATCTGCCTAGTAGCTAACTTCTTTCAAAACCCTGCTCAAGCAACACATCCTTTTGGACGCCTCACCTCCCTGAGTCTTATTCATGTCCCATACCACCATGCCTCTTCACCCCTCCTCAGTGAGTTCAGTGCCTCCTCTTCTGCTGCCACAGCTCTCTCTGTTTCCTCTATCGCTGTACTTTGTATTGTAGCCAATTTGATTTTCTTCCCTACTCAGTTGAACTCCTTAAGGACAGGGCCCTGATTCCCACTTCTCACTACCCCACCCTCCCCAGTGCTAGCCTATCGGAGGAGGTTCTGTATACATGTATAGTAAACGATTGAATGCAAAATTATGTCTAACTTCCTTAATTATGTGTTTCTGAAAATAACTTGTTAAGAAAGAGTTTGGTTAGAAAGGAATTCATTAGTATTCTAAATCCCTCTTCTCCAAAAGCATATTCATTTAGGGCTAACTGCCATGCTTGTAGGATTTGTTGGGTTTTGTTCACCTGAGCTGTGCCTTGCTGTCGCAGAAAGATGCCCTTCAGTGGTCTCGTAGTCCAGCTGCAGTGGAGGGCGAAGAACCGGAGGACACGGCTGACGTGGAGAGCTGTGGGTCTAATGAGGCCAGCACTGTGAGTGGCGAAAATGATGGTAAGGGCCCTTCACCAGGTGGGTGAGGGAGCCACAGCAGGTGCAAGGGACTAATCTTTGTTTTCCTCTCCCTCAGTATCTCTTGATGAAACGTCTTCAAATGCATCCTGTTCTACAGAATCTCAGAGTCGGCCTCTTTCCAATCCCAGGGATAGCTACAGAGCTTCCTCACAGGTAGGATGGAGAGGTAGAACCTAGGCCAGGAGGACAAATGATGGCAAGCACGAGGCCGGATTCTTCCTCTTTCTGCAGTTAGCTGTGAATATGTTTGAAGAGTGGAGAACAGAAGTTTGGTTTCCAGCTGTTTAGTACCATTTTACAGTGGGCTGTAGGAAAAGTGAATAGTAGGTCGGAGAAGGCTGTGCCTTCAGAGTGATGTGTTTTTTTTCTGTACCATGACTGAATGTTCTTGTAATATACATGAGAACATCCAAGGAGAGGTATGGTACAGTGCAGGGTGGTGAGAACATGAGCTTGGGAGTCAGCAGTTTGAATGGTAGCCCTGCTTCTTTCTCACTGTGGGACTTTGGGCAAATTCCTTACCTGTAAAACTGGGTGAACAGAACATTCTATTTCAGCTTGGAGCGATGCCTGGCATACAGTGCTGTTGTCAGCATGACCTGGCAGGCCAGGTTAGACATGAGCTCTGTTTTATGAGAGAGTAGATAGAGACAGGGTTACGAGGGCATGCTGCTGTGGCTCTGCAGCTGACTCGGGTTCTCTTTTGATCCCCTTGGGAATACAGGCAAACAAACAAAAGAAAAAGACGGGAGTGATGCTGCCACGAGTTGTCCTGACTCCTCTGAAGGTAAACGGGGCCCACGTGGAATCTGCCTCAGGTATGTGTCAACTCGTGATCGTGATGCTTTTTCCTCAGGTCCTGGGGACCTGGTCTCCCTCTGTCAGCAGTGTGTGACCTGGTAGTGTGATACCTGTAGAGCTGTCGCACCAGTCAGGAGGCCTATCCTCTGGAAGACAGCACGCTGTGGTGGTGAGGGCTGCTGTCGATTCTAGTGCTGGCTCTGCTGTGTGTCCTCCTCAGTGCCTCTCATAGAGGTTGTGAGGTTCCGATGAAGGATTGTGCCAGTGCTTTGTAAGAGGTGTAGTGCTGTAGTGCTGTGCAAATAAAGATGGTGGTTTGGCATTAAGTTGATATTTTAAAGCCAGACCATGAGGTGGTGGTTTCTGTCAGCCCAGGGCTGGGAGATGGAAACACCTAGCATTGCTGGCAGCATCTCAGGGAGAGCTGGGAGAAGTAGTAAGCTTGTCTGAGAGCCATGGGCGCGGCATGTGATACTTTTGACCAGTGGAATGCTGTGCCTTCAGGGTTCTCGGGCCGCCACGCCGATGGCGAGAGCGGCAGCCCGTCCAGCAGCAGCAGCGGCTCTCTGGCCCTGGGCAGCGCTGCTACTCGTGGCCAGGCCGAGGTCGCCCGGGACCCTGCCCCGCTCCTGAGAGGCTTCCGGAAGCCGGCCACAGGTGAGTGGCTTGGCACTCATTTCTCTGCCTGTAAAGGGGGGCCCTGCAGGCCTAGTGAGAACTCTTCCAGTTCCTTTACCAGTTTGTTTTTACTTCTTGGGTGGCCCTCTAGTTTTTGTTTCTTTTTACCTTGTAATTTGGTTATTTCATGTGTAGATCTCTGCTAGACTGTGAAGGAACTCCTTGCGGGCAGAAATTGTGCCACACTGTTGTTCCTTGTATGTCCCTGTAGGGCCTAGCTTGTGCCTGCCTTGGTCCTGCTTAGTAAGTGTTTTAGTGAGTAAAAATTGCTTCTGAGCTTGTTAGTGAAGAATTCCATCCGTTTTCTTTCTTTAGTAGCATCCTGCCATGCTCGCTCTCAACATCTGTAGTCTCTGTCAGACTCTCCCTTTTTTATAACTTAGTCAGTATGTTGAGTGGAAGCATATGTTGAATTTTGGGGATGCAAACAAATTTAGTAGTGCTGCATTGTCCACTCCCCCCATTAGGGTTCTTTACATGCTAGTGTGCTATTTGCTAGTTCAGGATTTATTTTTTATGGTCCCCACATGCTGGGCCACATGCAACCCTTAAGACTAGCCTTCATTTCTGGACATTAGAATAAAACAACACCCACGTGGAAACTAGGTTTGCCTTCTGGCTGCTTTTCCAGCTCATCAGCAGTGCTCAGTCGAAGGTCCCACAGTTCTCTATTCTTAGTGAGCCTTTCAAATGAAAGTGACATTTGCTGAGGCTTCTGTGAGAGGCATTAACAGCTCAGCTGGCTTTGAACAGCCCTTAGTACATTTCTACATGGAGATTACATCTCTCCAGCCCATTCACAGAAGGCTTCTACAGATTTTCCTGTAGTACACTAACTAGATTTGCTTTTAGACAACTTCCATCATTTCTCCAGTTGGGCTTTGTGGAGCCTGTTCTCCAACTTCGGAGGGAAGCTCAGAACCTGCCCTCTGCCTGGTTTTCCATGGGAAGAGTGTCCTCTTCAGGCTGTGACACAGCATGGTACAGAGTGTTGTCTGAGGGGATGCAAGCCCAAGTGTTCTCTTAGGCTTGATGGCACCGACAGTAACCTGGAAAGAGCAGTTGTCACATACAGGTTAGGATGGCCTGGATGATTGAGGAGGTTGTGTGCAGATAAGTTCTGGGTAGCTTGGTGCTGCCACTAAAGTTTTCCCATCAGTGGAATTTGCTTTTTTGCTTTAAAAAGCTGAAACTCTATACCTTGCTTCTTTTTTGCTTCAAAAATCACAGGTCAAATGAAGCGCAACAGAGGGGAAGAGATAGATTTTGAGACACCTGGATCCATTCTTGTCAACACCAACCTCCGGGCCCTGATCAACTCTCGGACCTTCCATGCCTTGCCATTACACTTTCAACAGCAGCTCCTCTTCCTCCTGCCTGAGGTGGACAGACAGGTACATATGGGCAACCTCCTGTTTACCTTTTTCTGGGTGGGCTTCTGTTCTCATTCAAGTTTCTTTAGTGATTGGGTTTTTCGCCCCCTTGATCCTTCTAGGTGGGGACAGATGGCCTGTTGCGTCTCAGCAGCAGTGCGCTAAATAACGAGTTTTTCACCCATGCGGCTCAGAGCTGGCGAGAACGCCTGGCTGATGGTAAGTAGACTTCATTATCCCAGATGGCCTGGGATGTGCCTGCCGTGTGTGGCGCTGCATACCTCCTGGTATTTAAAACCTAAGCTCTCTTTTCTCAAGGGATATTTAGTATAAGGCAGGCTTTCCTCAATACTAATAAATACGGTAGGTGTTAATGTGCTACACAGCTCTGAAGAATAATGAGTATTTGGGTTTTCACTGTATTATATGTATATACTCATTCTTCATCTTCTTTTAATCATTAAGACTAGAAATGACTATTCTTTCTAGTAATCATGGCATCCTCTGGATGGGTGGAGGAAAGGGCATCGTGGAGTTGACATGTTAAGCTTCACCATGCTCTGTCTTTTTAGGAATCATCACTTCTGGAGTGATCGTGAGCTTCTCTAAATTTAATTTTGTGGAGCAGCTCCATGGGGAACGTGCTGGGAGGACTCCAAGACTCCCCTTAGGCTTGATGGTCTGCTGGCAGGACTCAGCATATCATCATACTCAGCTATGATTTACTATAGCAGAATAGTGCAGAGCAAGGTCAGCAAAGGAAGAGGCACATGGGGTGAGGTCCAGGGGACACCAGATACAGGCTTTCGTGGTCCTCTCTGGAGTCACACCAGGCCATGGTTAATTCCCCCAGCAACAAGTTGTGACAACCCATGTGAAATGTCTTCCAGGGAAGCCTGTTACAGGTGTAGTGCCTAGGGTTTTGATTTGGGACTGATCAGGTAGGAGGCCATTGCCTGGCACATACCCAGGTTCCCAGAAGGAAAGCAGGTGTTCAACATAAGCCATATTGTGTGCATAAGCAGATTAGGCACAGTGAGCCACTCCGTATCTGTTAGGATGGTAGGAACCATCCCCAAATCCAAATACTCAGGTGTCAGCTAAGGGCTATCCTTGTAAGTAGGCTTTTCTAAAGATACCTGATCCTCCTACTATGGTAACTTTTTTTGTGCACAGGAAGTAAGCATGGTTCTTTTGTTTGTTGTTTTGCTTTTTTGACCAAAGTATTGCTTGCTCTTGAATGACTGATTACTTTAAGCACTTAATTTCCCTTGTTTTTCCCTAGGCGAATTTACTCATGAGATGCAAGTCAGGATACGACAAGAAATGGAGAAGGAAAAGAAGGTGGAGCAGTGGAAAGAAAAGTTCTTTGAAGACTACTATGGACAGAAGTAAGGCACTTAGAGCTATGTGTCCTGGTCTGGGGTGCTAAGGGATGGGGTAGTGGTAGATGGTCTCAAAATAATATATACGTATGTGTTGGATGAGAATGTAGAGATTGCAGTGACTTGGGTCATTTAGCTTAATGCCATTCATAGTGAAGCTAACATATATTTTTCTACGGTTAGTGTAGGCACCATGCACATTTATTTTGTTTTGAAATACCTACATTTCTGAGTGTGTATTATGCATAGAAGTGAAAGAGACATGCTGTCTCTGGCCCATAACTGAGGGTGTGATTTTTGGTTTGCAGATTGGGGTTGACCAAAGAAGAGTCATTGCAGCAGAATGTGGGCCAGGAGGAGGCTGACATCAAGAGGGGCTTGCGGGTCCCAGGAGAATCAGTGCGGCCACAGCGTGGTCCAGCCACCCGACAGAGAGATGGGCATTTTAAGAAACGCTCTCGGCCAGATCTCAGAACCAGAGCCAGGAGGAATCTGTACAAAAAACAGGAGCCAGAACAAGCAGTGGTTGCTAAGGATGCAAAATCTGTGGCCCCAGATGCTCCCCTCTACAAGGATGGGGAGGCTGAGACCGACTCAGCAGGCATGAGCAGTCCCCACCTGCCAGGCATGTCCTCGGCAGCAGTACCCAACCCAGAGGGCCACGAATTTCCTGGGGAACCTGTGGCTTCCCAGGTTCAGACTGAACCAGACAACTTGGCACGTACCTCTACATCTCCGGACAGAATTCCTAGCTTATCTCAGGAGACTGTGGACCAGGAGCCCAAGGATCAGAAGAGGAAATCCTTTGAGCAGGCGGCCTCTGCGTCCTTTCCCGAAAAGAAGCCCCGGCTTGAAGATCGTCAGTCCTTTCGTAACACAATTGAAAGTGTTCACACCGAAAAGCCACAGCCCACTAAAGAGGAGCCCAAAGTCCCACCCATCCGGGTAGGAGATTGTTTGATTCCTGGCTGCCCAGGAGCCAGGCTTCCTTTGAGGGTCATGAGAGTCTAGAACCCTTTTGCCCTGGGGTCCTGGAGTTAGTTATGTGGGAACGTAGGGCTTTCTGTGAGAGAGCTTTTCTTGAGACCAACTTTAGTAGTTTAGGGGTGATAAAGTTCTTCCTGACTTTTTTGGTTAACTCTGTTGAGGTTCTGTCTCTAGAGATCAGAATCCCTTGAGGGTTCTAAATCTTCTGTTAGGTAGAGTCTTTGCTATAGTGACTTACACAGTACCACCAGTGCCTGCAGGTTCACACCCCTTGAAGCCTAGCACTTTGGGAGACTGAGATGAGAGGATTGCTTAAGCCCAGGAATTTGAGACATGGTGTCACCAGAAATTAAATTGAGAAGTGTGGTATATAATAGTCCTTGAGCAGAATCTTCTCTGAATGGTATGGTGTCATGGCAGTAATTTTACTATGATTATGCCATTTTTTAGGAAAATTGTTTGATTCTGTGTGCCGTGACTCCTACACTACTAGCATCCTATGCTCTACAGTCCCTAGGTCATATAATCCAATCCGTTAAAACTGTTTTCCAATTCTTTTCTTGCAGATTCAACTTTCACGTATCAAACCACCCTGGGTGGTTAAAGGTCAGCCCACTTACCAGATATGCCCCCGGATCGTCCCCATCACGGAGTCCTCCTGCCGGGGCTGGACTGGTGCCAGGACCCTCGCAGACATTAAAGCCCGTGCTCTGCAGGTCCGAGGGTCGAGAGGCCACCACTGCCATCGAGAGGCGGCCACCACGGCCAGCGGAGGCGGGGGGGGCCCGGGTGGAGGTGGCGGCGGGGCCATCGATGAGGGAGGTGGCAGAGGCAACAGCAGTAGTGATGGTGGTGAGGCCTGTGGCCACCCTGAGCCCAGGGGAGCCCCGAGCACCCCTGGAGAGCATTCGTCAGATCTACAGCGAACACAATTACTGCCGCCTTGTCCTCTAAGTGGGGAACACACTCAGGCTGGAACTGCCATGTCCAGGGCCAGGAGAGAGGACCTGGCTTCTCTCAGAAAGGAGGAAGGCTGCCCACTACAGAGGGTTCCATGTGTACTCACAAGTGGGCTGAAAGATGTCTCCCACCTCCCCATCGCTCCCACTGGGGACCAGCCATTCCAGGCTTTGCCCCCTCTGTCCTCCCAAACATCAGTAGCTGAGAGATTAGTTGAGCAGCCTAAGTTGCATCTAGATATTAGAACTGAATGTGAGTCTGGTGCCACTTCCTGGGAAAGGGATACTGAGGAGCAAGGACTTACTGTTTCCCCAGAGAATGGTCCTATTCAGTCTCTAGTGGGAGATGTGTTAGAAGAAGGAACTGACCAGGCTCTTGACAGTAATCCCACTATGAAGGATCCTGTAAATGTGACCCCCAGTTCCACGCCTGAATCGTCATTGGCTGACCACCTGCGGGACAGACCATTCAGTGATGAATTAGAACTTGGTGACTCATGCCCTCCCGTGAGGGAAGGTGATATCAGACAAGAACACTTGAAAACCAAGGCCCTCGTTTCTGATAGTGCTGCTCCTTGGGTACCCACCCCTTCAAATGATGAGTTAGTGAAACAGCCTGAACCAGAGTCTAGAGAGAACGTACCATCTTTTGAGCCTCAGGTCGGAGACGTGTGGGAGAAAGCCGCTCCCCTCATTCCTGCAGTGCCTGGGAGTTTGACAGTTGAGGAAGGTCGAGGTCCTCTGAACAGCCTTGCTTCACTCTGGACAGTGCCCACTCGAGGAGGCAGCAAGTGCAGACAGGTGGATGTTGAAACGGTGAACGTCAGTGGAGACTCGGAAGCAGTGAGTCCTCACAGTGAGTCCACAGACACAGCCTCTGACTTTGAAGGCCACTTCACTGAGGACAGCAGTGAGGCTGACACTAGTGAAGCCACAGGGATGAAGGGACCCTTGATGGACAAGGATGAGAAACATGATGGGAAGCGATCCGCCTCACTGTCCAAGGCGAATGGTGACCTGAGTCTGGTTACAAGGACAGATGGGATGGCTGCTTCTCAGAGTTGGGTAGCTCGAGTTTGTGCAGTTCCCCAAAAGATCCCAGACTCCCTGATGATGGCCAGTAGTGAGTACCAGCCAAGATCCATGTGCCTACCCAGACCTGGGTCCTCGGTGGAGACCACTAACCCACTTGTGATGCAGCTGCTGCAGCGTAGCTTTCCCCTAGAGAAGATTCTTCCTCCAGCCCTCGGTGGCAGCAAGCCAGAATCCTTGCAACTACTACCTACAAAAAAGCAGAGCCATGATGGCTCCCTGGGCTTGGAATCTTTGCACGGTCCTGGGGAAAACAGTCGCATGGTTGGCAGAAGCAACCCCAATTCTTTAAGGTCTTTGAAGGAGCCTCTTGTCTCCCAGAGCTGTGAAGCAGGCACTGGTCTTGCCAGGATAGAGGCTACCCAGGCTCCTGGAGCACCACAGAAGATTTCCAAGACAGCCCCAAGTTTTGACTCCTTATATCCAGTGACACATCCAACAACTTCTGGGAAACTGGAAGAAACAGATTCCAAAGAACAGTTCTCTTCCTTTAGTTTTGAAGATCAGAAGGAAATCTGTGCCATGTCCCAGTGCAGTAATTCAAAGGCTGCTCCAGGCAGAAGTCCAGCAGATCTTACTACCTCTAGAGCACCTTGTTTCTCTTCTCCAAATGTGAGTTCCTTTGGTCCAGAGCAGACAGATCGAGCGCTAGGTGAGCAGAACCATGTTGGAGGCCAAGGGAAGAAGCTCTTTGGCTCTGGGAATGTGACTACAACCCTTCAGCACCCCAGACCCGCGGACCCAATGCCACTGCCTGCCGAGGTCCCTCCACTTTTTCCCAGTGGGAAGCTGGGGCCAAGCACAAACTCTGTGTCTGGTGGGCTACAGCCTGCAAGGGAAGACTGGGCTCCCAAGCCACCACCTCCCTCTGCAGGCAGCATCAAGAATGAGAAAGCTTTTGTGGGAAGTTCTCTCAAGGCAAATGCAGAGAACAGAAAAGCTGCTGGGCACAGTCCCTTGGAATTGGTAGGTCACTTGCAAGGGATGCCCTTTGTCATGGACCTGCCCTTCTGGAAATTACCCCGAGAGCCAGGGAAGGGGCTCAGTGAGCCTCTGGAGCCTTCTATCCCCTCCCAACTCAACATCAAGCAGGCATTTTACGGGAAGCTTTCTAAACTCCAACTAAGTTCCACCAGCTTTAATTATTCCTCCAGCTCACCCGCCTTCCCCCGAGGCCTTGCTGGAAGTGTGGTGCAGCTGAGCCACAAAGCGAACTTCGGCGCGAGCCACAGCGCATCACTCTCCTTGCAAATGTTCACTGACAGCAGCGCGGTGGAGAGCATCTCGCTGCAATGTGCATGCAGCCTGAAAGCCATGATCATGTGCCAAGGCTGTGGTGCATTCTGTCACGATGACTGTATCGGACCCTCAAAGCTCTGTGTATTGTGCCTTGTGGTGAGATAATAAATTATGGCCATGGGAAAAATTGTATATTTAGTGTGTGTATTTTGATAATGATTGATCTTAAATCTGTATACAGAATATCATTGATATAATACTCTGTCTCTCTAAGCAAGAGCACTCTTGCCTTCCCAAAATTTATAGTGCTAAAGCCGCCTGTCACTTATTGACCCTTCTAGTCCTGCTAGAGGGGTTTCCTGGGGTGAGGGGTGACCCACTGGCCTGCCCAAGGCCAGCCAGCCTGAGCTTGTCTGTGTGGCCTCCAGACACCCAGAGAGACTTGAAACGGAAGCAAGCAGGTTATGTTCTCCACAGAGGGAACGAACCTACCTGAACTAAGTAGAAATGTCAGTCTTCCACTGCCCCCTCCCTGCCACCTTCTGCTACTTTGTTTGGGGAGTTGATGGTTGAGGAAGAATTCAGCCCAGGGTTAAATAACTCCCAGCATTGCCCACCAGGGGGCTTGAACACCTGCTGACCTCAGGGTCACAGTTGAGTCATCTGCCAGTTGATGGAGCCAGTGCGATCCAGTAGCCCACAGAATCTTTTGGAACCTTCGCTAGCCCTGCTTGGACAATGGGGCTGGGGAAGAAGTTTGTCCTTCCTATGAAAATGCCATCTGTAGACCCTGTGAGTCAGCTGTCCAGGTGTCTGCAGGTGATTCCCCTGCTTGACACCCTCCCCGTCACTCTGGACTCTACGGGAGTGGGCAGCTCCACGCACCTATGTACGTGAAAGTCATTTTACATTTCAAAGCATTGTGTGTTTTCTTATTTTTATATTTTTATCTCTCTTCTTGGATGTATAAAGTGAACTTTTTGGCTTCTGTAAGTATGCTCTATGCACCTCTAATGTTTTATCATGTATTTATATGTTGTACACAGTACTGGCCGATTCTGTAAATGGATGTATTGTACAAAGAACATGAACGTCTCCTCCTTATTTCACGTCTTCAGCATCATTGCACACAGAGGCTGAGCGCTGTGCTGTTCAAAGTGAGGGTGAAGCCATTGACTTACGACCTGCCAGGTTGGCCTGGCATCCTGTCATGGTTGGCCAAGTGGATCTGCTGCAGCCTGTAGAGCCACAGGCAGCCTGCCTGCACGCACGCAGTTGAGCAGGCACGTCTGGCTCCTCACTCTTTCCTCTTTTCCTCTCCAACCTTCACTGGCTGTTTGCCAGCATATGTGATAGATCACCACCAACAGTGTTAAGTGCTCCTGAATTCATGGGCGAGTTCCCTGGGCAGACCCCACGCAGGCCTTCCCGATCTGGCTTCAGGGTTACGACCTGTCACAGCAATACCTGGGACCATATTCTCCTGGGGCCACAAGGCTCCTTTTGACATACTCTTGACAGCAGGCAGGTTTGGGAGGGAAGAAAGCTTTGCCTGCTCCTGTCTGTCTCCCCACAGGTTTCCAGCACGTGAATACCCCTGTATTTGTCTCTTTTTACCCTGTTTCCTGTCTTATTTCTTGTATCTCAACTTAATACAGAGTTGAGAATCTTCCTTGGTAAATTTAGGTCTCTGTGTGAGTGCTTCTATGTGAAGTATCAAATTTGTGTGACTTTGGCGAGTCTCATTTCATCTGAAAGGTTTTCTTCTTCTCTAATTTGATGTAGCATTGTTGCCATCTGAAGCATGAATGATAAGTTGGCAGCGAGGTGGTGATTTAAAGTGCAGTATTGACCAAGTCCAAGTTGTCAACTTTAAAGTCTGTTTACCAAAGACTTGGAGCAGGGGCCCAAGTGTGTCCAGTCCTCCTCTTTCCTCTGCTGGAACCTTTGGGACCACTCAAGGGTACAGTATCACACTGCTCTGGTCCATGGGGCTGCCCAGAGAAAGCACTGCTTTTGTATGTCTCTTGTGGTATTGGAACAATAAACCTATACAACCTGCAGTTGTAGTCTCAGTCATCTTCTGTGGCTGCCCCATTGGTGTGGGAAGGTCAGGCCGGAGCACAGAGTTGGATGGGAATGGGGGAGACGCCAGCTCTCCTTGGCATGGCTCTGGGCTACTATTCATGGAGCTCTTCTTTTGGGAGGATAGTCCAACAGGAGTGACTTGGCAGCTTCACTGATCTTTAGTTTCTGTTTGTGACTTGGGGACCTTTTCCACTGCAGGGACTGCAATCAGAAGTCAGAGCAGTTTCCCCTTGTGGATGAGCATTGTAGACCGTGGCATTCCTCCACAGCTGCCCATCTGAACGGCTTCCCTGAGCTTGAGATTGTCAAGTGGCTTCCCAGTGGTCAATGGTCTGTGCGAGGGTGACCAGTTCTGACCTTGAGAAGATCGAAGCACCTCCTGTGGCCTCAGGAGGCAGTGAGGGAGGTGTTAGCTGCTCAAGGTGGGGTCTGATGCTAGTTGAGCAAGCCAGAGTGCATGGCGTGCTGTGAGAATTGACTTCACAGAAGCCTCACATTTCTCAGGATACTTAAATCCATAACCTTGTGCTTATCAGAAATAACTTTATTAGTATACAAATAAGCCAAAATTAAAAACAAAAGTGTTTCCATGTGCATTAACTTTTTCCCTGTGAATTAGGGGAGAGCTCTGTATGCGGTGGGACCCTTGAGGCTGCCAGTTGCAGTGCTGCTGTGTGAGTGACACAGTGTGAGAATTTATGACTCAGTAGTGCTGTGGTGACGTGTCCTTGTGCCTTTGTGTCACAGAATTCATTTGCCCACCTATGTCTGTCTGAGATTCAAATGCTTTACAGCCTAGGACTGGGCCCTGCCCTGCTGATGGCATCTCCTCAGGGAGGCATACCAGTGCATGGGTTCTTAGGGTGCGGCTCTGCTCCACACCAGTTCTGGGGTCTTGGGCACATTATGGAATCTCGCTGCCAATGCTCCTCTCTGAATGGGGTCAGCAGCTTCTACTTCATCAGATTGTTCCTGCCTGCCGCCCAGGAAATAGTGACAGCTCATACCAGGCCAGGACAGGAGCAGTACGTGGACTTCCAGTAGGCCTCCATACAGCCACTGCCTCCTGAGACAAGCTGTGGAGAGGCAGGCCTTGTGCATGTCGTGTTGAGGAGTGCAGGCTGTAACGCTGGCATCTGGGCTTTGATCTCATGCTACAGTTGTTGAGGGCAGTCCTGAGTTTACAGGCAAGCAGGGAGGCTTATTTTGCTCATGATCCAAAGAACAAGGAGACACGATGTTTCAGAATATCGAAAGAAAATGATATTACTGGCCTGGTGAGTATCATTAATTTGTTTGATACCCAGCCTGCTCTTGAGAAAGTCAGACCCTGTGTGTAGGGGGGTGGGGAGGGTGTGGGTATGTGTGCACGCTGAATAGGGCAGCCTGTGTCCATCAGGGGCCTCTGGACCAAAGCATTGCCTGCTCTGCTGCCTGAAGAGGAAGGGGCCCAGGCTGTGTTGCCCTCCTGTGTGGGCGCTGTCTGAGCTGTGGAAAAGGTAGGAAGTATGTCCTTGGAGATTGCTACTTGAAACCAAGATTTGTCAGGAGATGCTTCCCCTCATCTCTGCATCAGTGTGAAGGCTGGAATGAATGCCTCTACCACAAGATGTAGACAGTGCCCAGAAAGACCCACACGGTGACCAGTGCTGCCTTGCCTGGCGTGGGTGGGTCTTCACCTTCTGTAGATGCTCCCCCAGGAATGAACGTACCAGGTTTTGCGTCCTATCTCTTGAGGCAGGCAGCTGGGACCCCCTGTTGAAGATCCTCTGGCTGATAGTATGAATACAATTCGCGTTTATACCAAAGGTCATCAAGGGAAGATAGGACCCTGCAAGGATTCTTCTTGGGTTTCCTGTAACCCGAGCTTTGCTGCTGCATTTCAAGTTACTTGTCAAAGGCAACCTGTGCACGCACTCCCCTTCCCACACGGCGTAAAGGAGGTTTGCCTGTTTGTCATTGAGAGAATTTCCGTTCGCTGTTCAGAGTGGACATTCCAATTTGATGGTGTCCCGTGTCCACTGTTGACAACAGTGGTCTGGAGTCCCATTTAAGGAAGCCAGACTGGAACCAGCCGGGGCTTTTCTAGTCTCAAGCAGTTTAGCCCAGGGAGCCAGGCGCTCCAGTGGAATGGCATTTCCTGTGGAGGCAGGTGGGTGTTGGGAGCCGGCCCAGAGGCTGTGGAGTCTGCCTGGAGAGGGTCTGGGCTCTGGTGCTGTTGTCGTAGGTTGTGGGGTTTTAATAGTCTCCGCAGTGGTTGTTTTCATCGGACATGGAATTTTCTTGGCATTACTGGGGACTTGCTGCCCTTGACCCCCACGTGGGCAAAGTGAGATGTCAAGGCCCATCTGTGCCCAGAGCTGCTCCCGGCTTTGCATGCGTTTCAGCCCAGAAGTCCTGCCCTCAGTGCAGGGCTTTCACCCCGCTGGCTCTCTCTTCTGATCTACTTCGTAGATTTGGCGACTGCACAGAATTTCTGTTTCTTTACAAAAAGGCATTCTTACGTCGTTATTTTAAAAGGTTTTAATAACTGCCATATAGGTGTGTATTTACCTGCACATGGAATTTTAACAGTAAAATGTACGCTTTCAACTTGCACAGAGTTGGTTTTAAACCCATGATAATCAGGTTTGTTCCCAGTGATATTCCTGCAATTTTCCTGTAAAGATTAACCTATGTGATACATGTAGGATGAAAAAAATCTGCACAAATAAGTGTCTTTGGGAAAAGCGGTCCTTTTCTTTCCTTCAAGGCGGGACCCAGGGTTTTGTGTGAAATGGAGTGTAAAGTATTGAAGGCACAGAGCCAGGGGTCACGTTGGCTTGGTTTCTCTGTTGCTTAGAGGTCGCTGCAGGACCTTGGTTTGTGCAGGCCACATGTGAGGATGAGAGGTAATGGAAAGCCAGTTTTGTGCTTGGTCACGGACTGAGTCCAGGCAAGGCATCTGCCCAGTGTTCCTTTGCCTCCACAGGCAGGGGAAAGGTGACCCAGATTGAAAGCCGCGTGAGGAGAGCTCGCCCCCTGGAGGGGCGTCCGGGGAGGTTCGTTTTCTTCCCTTGCTAACTAACAGGCAAGGCACCAAGACGGAATTACAGGTTGCTTGGTTCAAGATAAGTTACTAAAGACCTTTTGTGTGCCAGTTTATTAGCTAGGAAAAGGCGGAAGCTACCAGAGAAAGATGTTGCAGTGCCAAACTAGATTGAAAAGGACGAGGACAGCTGGCAGCGCCGCTGCGGACAGGACACAGCAGAAGCAAGTGCTCAGTGTCTTGTTCAGTGTTTATTAAGTAGATTCAGTCTTATATATGATATACAGATTCCAAAGGAAAAGGATTCCACATACTTATGAAATCAGTGCATTTAGCAAGTAATACCATGGAGATAACAGCTCGATTAACAGCTCATTGGTCTTTTGTTACGTGAGGGAGAGGGAGTCGGCCTGTGCTAGTCATTCCACAAACAAAACAGAATTTAGTCGCATCACGTTGAGAAGACACATTCTAAGAATTAAAATATTAAGCCACATTTACTGGAAAAAACTCACTATATAGAACACAAATAATTTTTATAGAGAGCATTGAGGAGGAAGTCCTCACCTGCTTAGAAGAGCCACGTTAAGTTGCATAGGTGCATATCTGTAAAAATATAATTTAGAGGTGAAGCCATTGATTAACAGAGTCACCTTTAGAAGTCGGTGCCATCTACTGTTTGCCTGAAGTGCCATATGCTTACTGTCTGGAGCCCCACCATCCCCAGAGGTGGGACCTCGCTAGTGAGCTGCCCCCAGAGGAACCCAGAAGAAATGCTTATACCATCTGCACTGAAAGTCTTAAATTTCCATCTCAGATACGGAACTCATGCGCTTCCAAAACATCCTAAATTATACCAGAGAAGTGACCACCTCTTGGGTCGCCCCTAAATCCTGAAGGCTACGTGAGCCATCGGGACCGCCCACTCCTCTCTCCCCCACAGCTCTGCAGTGAAATCCTTGCCCGTGCAATTCACTGCCGGTGGCTGTCGGGAGGTCTCTACTCTGACTCCTCCTCCTTACTGGACCACATGAGAGAGGCACATGGGCCATCCACCAGGTGGAAACTTGGTGGAAACTTTTTCAGCAAATCTGAGTTCTGTGTGGTATAGGTTTTCTGTTTTTGTTTTTAGGTGGAAACATAGGTAGAAGGTGAGAGGTTTTGATTCGTGGCTTTGCTAAGCAGATGAGCTTATGAGGTGCATCTTCCCCCTCAAGAGCGAGTCTTGCAGAACACAGGGACTGGGGCATCTGTACATGTAAACAGTACACTTCCACTGAGTCCAAAATTAGGAGCAAAAATACAAAGGTTCACATTGGTCTTAGGTAGATACAGGCGAAAAAGGATTGAGCCGATCGGCTCAGAAACAACAAAAACAAAGTTTCTAAAGCACCACTAAATTATATAAAAATCAGACCATGGACGGATTGAAACTGGTATCTGGTGAAATACTTTACTATCTTGTAAAAAGTTTTACAAAAAATTACAAATTAAAAGTATCAACCCTCTGAGTTCAAAGCAGCATTTTGAAAATGAACTGGTAGTTAATCCTATAACCGCCCCTGGAGTCGTAAGTGGCCCTTGGGAATAGGGAGAGGTGGGCTCCCCTTTGAAATCCTCTAAACCCTCCTGACCCCCTGCCTTTCCCCTGCCCCCTCCACACTGTCCTTGGGAGTAAACTGTCCTTAGTGCGAGCGGCAATGGTGAAAGGAATTTCAGATGGGTCTCACACACTGGTCGGCGCCATGATCCCACACTAAGACCCGATGCCCATGTCTCTGATCCTACCCCTCTCATGGGATTAGACCCCGCCAGGACTCTGGAATCGGAGTAACCTACTATTGCATTTCATTTTAAACTTGGGATCCCAAGTGACTCTGCCCTGAGGCCCTTCAGATGGCTTCTGAATTGGCTGTGGGACAGGGCTTCTGGGAGCTCCATGTGGGAGAAGGCAGTCCCTCAGGTCAAAGGAGACAGTGGCAAGCCTGGCTCCTCAGAATCAGCTCTGGTGCTCTCGGAGTCAGGAGTAGGAGGAAGCTGCATCTTTTAAAACAAAAGCAAAACAGAACAAGTTCCCTGACCGAACCAGCTCATGGGATCCTGCTTCCTGGCAGTCACTTGCGCCCGATCGGACCATCCAGGGCTTCAGGTGTAGCTTCCCTGGGAGGTGGGGTCGCTGTCCCGGAGGGGCCTGGAGCGCCCGTGGACTTTCACTACTGGCATGTTCTCTCCTCTGCAACACACTGAACCCGTGCTCTTGCTGCAGTCCTAAGGTGGGCTGGAGACGGTCCGTTCTGACAGCCTGACCTGCCCTTGAGATGGAATCCCTTATGTGAGTAGGGCAGAGAGCCCCTTCCCCAGTCTTTCTCACTCCAGTCTGCCAAGAAGTGCAAACTGTTCCGCGTCTAGCTTGGGGACTGCCTCTGGGAGGAGACGTGACCTGCTGAGCAACTGGCATCAGAAATTCTAGGGTGGCGATTGTCTCTTGCCAGGTTTTAACATTAAGATTTTCACAAATTGCCTGGGGTAACATTTTGCAAAAGATCTGATTACTCTGTAGCATTGTTCACACACAAAAATAAATATTTACACAAATGCAAACGTCCGGGAGTAGTACTGAGCAGGTGGGACTGGGCGTGTGGATGGCTGGACATGGGAGAGGCCTGGGCCCTGGAGCTTGTGCTGTGCTAAGGGTGCGTCTCGGGTGTCCTGGCTTGGCCAGAGGCCTGGGGGCTGGGCGGATGGAAGGCAGAGGTGGTGTGGCTGGGGGGGTGTTGGAGGCCACTTGAGAAGTGAAATCACGCCCAACCTCTGGGGGCTGGAAGGAAGTGTGGGGTGGTCGCCTGGGCCTGAGGCAGGATGGGGCACCACGCTGGCGTCCATGCCCACCCCTCCGGAGGGGTCTGCCCCAGTACAGGCAGCTGGCTGCAGGAAAGCTGGTTTGTGAGGGGGGCCTACTCTGCAGCCATCCTAGGGTCCCTTGGCTCTGGCTCCCCTGGGCTGCTTTGCTCGGAAGGAGGGCTCTGCCAGCTCTGGGCAGGGGTGGGCAGCGGAGAGCTGCTGTCATGGCTACGGAGTGGTGCGCGGCGCAGCCGTGGGCCGGCTGGGGTCTGGGCGCGTCCCTGGTTTTAGCAGCACTGGTAGGTATTGCACTGAGCAAGAGGAAGTGCCTATCAGGGAGGAAGGAAACCAGGCCAGGGTTTTCTTTTTGCCCTTTTTCACACTCCAGGGATTATGGGTTTCTTCCAGGACTGGCCCCTCCACAGGAGGGCTGGTCCTAGGAGAGCCCAAGTGGCTTCTCCACTTCCACCGACGATCCCTGTCCTCCAAGTGTGGGGCGGGGGCAGGAGCTGCTGCCCGTCCTGGAGCTCACGGCCGCCCGGCAGCCCCGCGTGCTCCAAAGAGCAGCCCTCGCAGCGCCGTCTGGGGGCCAGCGCCCCAGCGGCAGGACAAGGGTGAGGGCGAGGGCCCTGCTGACGGCGGCCATGCCGCCGAGCAGCTGAGCGGGCCAGGGTACTGCAGCTGGGAACAAGGGACAGGACCCTCTCTGGGATCCAGCTCCTGGATGCCCAGTCTGGACTTACCTCCCAGGCAGACACACTGTGGGGGGAGTTGGGGTGACAGCCGTTCAGAACAGGCTCGGGGCACGTCCTGGAAAAAGCCCACGCTGGAGTGTGAGGTAGAATACAGGTGACCATGTGACCGGGGCTTCTGCAGAACGGGGTGGGGTGCCTTTTGTTTTGCTTTGCAGTGGGTGTGGGTGAGGTCCTTCTGCTTGGTGGTGCCTAGGGAGGTGCCCGGCGGTGTCCCTGTGGCAGCACTGGGGTCCGCCACGGACGGCCCGGCCCAGGGGTGATGGCTTCCCCAGGGTGCCCCAGGCACACAGAGGAGCGGCCGGCCCGCCCCCGCCCTGCCAGCCCCGCCCCATCAGTGTAGTGAAATGGAATGTTAGGAACGGGCACATCCTTCTCATCAGACAGACACAGACTGGCAATCTGTACAAACACAAAAGAATCCATTTTCAGAAAAATAAATTACTAAGGGGAGAGGAAGAAAGGGTCCACTTTGTTTTCCTCAATAAATATGCAATTCTGCTCACCTAAGACTTGAAAGGTAATTATCTGGGGGTGGGATTCTAACACCGGGTCCACGAAGGTGAGTCTACATAGAGCGGCAACCCCAGTGCCTCGTCCGGGAGCCTGACCTCTCCAGAGCTGCCCTGTCAGCCTCTTCCAAGCAGGCAGAGCACCCGTGTGGTGAGATTCCAAAAAAGTGTCCTTGTGCCCAAAGTCTCAGGTGCTTGGAGTGTGGCTAGAAACAGCTCCTCTGGATCCCGCCTCCTTCAAAAAACAAAATGTACCAACGGGCAAGGCAGGAAGCTGGGCCGGGCCGGGCCAGCCTCCTTCCCTAGGGCAGTGCTCCAGGTGCCGTGGGGTCAGTTCTGCTGTAAGATGAGGTTTTCCAGTTCGTCTGCAGAGCGCAGCAGGAAGGCAGCGGACTCCCGGTAGCCCGCGATGAGCTGCCGAACGGCGCTGATCTCCGTGGGGCTGAGCTGGGCGGTGGGCACGGGCCTGCTGGTGCTGGTGCTGGAGGGGGTGGGCGTGGAGGTGGTGGAGGTGGTGGAGGCCCCGCCTTTCATGCTGAGGTCCGTGGGCCCTGTGGGGAGGGAAACCGGGTGAGGAGGGGCACGGCTACCTGCCTGGCATCTTTGCGCAGCCTGGTGTCTGCCTGCTGAGCGTCAGGTGCTGGAGTCTGAGGCTCTGAGGCCTCTCTCTGACGACTGCACCCCTCGTGCCCAGAGTGGACCTGCATGGGACAGGGGCTTTCAGCTAACCTTCAGGGTGGCCTTGCAAAGGAGCGGATCTTATCACTGTGTGGCAGGTGCAAGATGTGGAGGCCTGGGAGGTTTGAGAGGGCGGCCCAAGGTCATCCGGGGAACGCACCGTGGCTCGCGTTTAGGGCAGAGGGCCAGGGACATACGCAGGGGATCCCGCCCCAGCTCCCTGCCCTCTGCTTCCCTCTGAGGACCTCTGGCAGGCACACGTCACGGCTCCGGTTCCCCAGCTGAGGAAGAGGAGGCCCCAAGGAAAGGGACTTCTTGAGATCTGCCTCTCCCCAGCGGAGCTCGGGAGCGGGCAAGAACGGTCCCATAGAGGAACTGTGGGGACGAGTGCACCATGGAAGTTCCTGCGTGCCACGGGGAACAGCACAGGCCTGCATGCCGCTCCTCCCCACGCTGGGAGGTCTGCAGGCAGGCAAGACCGGCGAGCCCCAGGGACACGTGCGTGGAGAGCCAGGAGTGTCCAGAGTGGAGCCACAGAAGGCCAGGAAAAGAGACACCTGGCATGCCCAGACAAGGAAAGGGCTCTGTCCAGCTGGAGCGCAGCCAGAGGCCAGCTCCCCCGCTGCCCGGGAGAAAGAGAAGTACTGGCCAGGCTGTAACTGCACCCCCAGGAGAGGGGCTGTGGGCGCCTGTGGACGGAGAGAGCGGCTGGGTGTGTCGCGTCTCTTTCTGACGAATGCACCCCTTCGTGGGAGTGAGTTTGTGCCCGAGCGGGGAGGAAAGCTCCTGTTGCTGTGATGGGAGGCAGTGGGGGTGGGTGGACGCCCAGGGTCGCCACGGTCAGGGCAGGACCCAGGCCTAGAGAAGTCACTTGCCCTTTGTCCTCGGGCAGTGGCAGCAGAGGGAACCCACTGTCTCCTGAAACACTAGGGTGTGTTGTGGGGAGGGAACCAGCGAGCCCAGCCCCTCTGGGCCTTTCCCCAGAAGCTCTGGGGCGGGGGGTGCTGCAACTTTGGAGCCAGACAAGTGTGGAGTCTTGCTCTGCTCCCTCACGGCAAACTCTTCCAATTTCTCTGAGCCTCGCGGCCCTTGTTTGCAAAGCGAGGAGGCACTCGTGAGCGGGAACTGAGAAGCCACTTGGGAAACACGGCACAGGCTTCTCAGGCCGCAGGAGGCCTGACTGCAGAGCCTGCCCCATGGGGGAGGGCTTCCAAGCAGGCTTCCGAGTGGGCTCCCAGGATAGCTGGTGCTCCCAGAGTTTGAAAAGCATGTGCAAGGTGTTCAGCAAGAAACAGCCAAAGAGAGGATGTGGGGTATGAAAGCAGTGCTTCCTGAGGACACCTCCTCCGCCAGCCAGGTCAGCCTTGCTGTTCCCTGCCCCCCTGGTCCCTTCGCCGTGGCCCACGGTCCAGAGCTTATCTTCTGTGGGGTGGAAGCTGCTCTGGGTTATCGGTTGTCTCCTGCCCCCCTGGAGCATCTGATGGCCACGTTCACTCGTTATTGCACCCACAGTGGCAGTTTTACGCTGCTGTAGAGAGAGACGAACTAGCGCTTTCCCTTGGAGACATCTAGCCTGGACAGCACGTCTTGGGATAACTTATGGAAACTCAACTACTGCTAGGAGGAGGCTGGGGAGCCCCTAAAGGGGGAAGAAAGTTGGAGTTAAAATTGCACAGAGGGAAGGAGTCGGGGCTGTGTATGCCAGAAACAGCAGCCAAGCAGGTGACTGACTCCCAGGCTGGTGGCCAAGTGGGCACCTGAGACAATCTGGGGACAGGAGCACCTCTGTAGTTTCTGGACGTCGCAAGCTGCCCCTGGAGGGGTGGAAAGGGGCGGGCTTGGCTCGTCTGGGGGGCTCTGATCCCCTCCAGACAATGGGGGTGGCCGGAGCCTCCTGCCGGCGGCCTGGAGAGTCCCCTCTTCCCTCCTTCCAGCCCCAGGTCTCATCCCGTTCACGTTCACATCTGTGCTCAGAGCTTCCCCCTTCTCTCCTGGGCGGTGGCAAAGCCTGGAAAGGAGAAAGTCCCCATCTCCTGCAGCCAGTCTGATCTGGAGACGTCCCCACGCAGGCTCTGCTTACAGCCAGTGCTCAGGTTACAGCGACTGCCGGCTGCTTGGTAGAGGGGCAGGGGCGGGCAGGAGCTGCCCGGCACCATAGGCAGAGCAGGCGGGCGGGATTCCACCTAAGCTGATTTGCATCTCCAGATGACAACATAATGAGCAAAGTGAGGAGCTCTGAGCCATTAGTATGGCTGCCCAACTGAGGTACCAAAGTGACTGAACAATCACTCAGAGGCCGGGAGGGCAGTGGGGTGGAAGACCCTGCAACCCCGTGGCTGCGAGCCCTTTTCCACCAACTGCTGGGCTCAAGCCCCGGTTTAGACAGCACTCTCCAGTGAAGGGTAGGTGCTCATGGGATGGGCTGCCCCAGGCCAGGAGGCTTCAATGCCCAGATCCCTGCTTCCATGACCTCCCCGGCCACCTCTAAGGAACTGGGGTGTTCAGAGCTGGGAGACTGAGGGCCTGGAGGGCACAGGCCGGAGCCAGCTGCCTCCCCAGAAGAAAAGCTTTGGTGCTGAGCAGGGCGGGCACGCAGCAGGCTCAGCCCCTTCCAGAGGCCCTCGGGGTGGTGACCTGTCACCATCATCTGCTGCCTGGGAGCGCCTGGGCCCCAGGGCACCCTCCCCTTTCCTGTGGGGCCCCAGCTGCCTCGTGTCAGGAGGGCAGGGCTGTGGGATGGCTCTTCCGGGAAGGGCCGAGACAGCCACGCTGCCTCTCACTGTGCCGGCCACTCTGGCCTTGGCTCTGGGATTAGGGCCAGGCAGCCTCTTATTTTAGGTTAAGAGGCATTAGGAAGGGATGAGGCGTTAAGCCTGGGCAGGCATCTTCCACGGTTCCGCGGCACACACTTCCTGGTTCTGAGGGGCTGGTGAACACGGGGCTGGGGAGGGCTCCAGGCTGGCAGCGAGGGGCGGGGCAGGGAAGTGGAGGTGGCTTGGACTTGCTGTTCCGACTGAGGACAAGCCCCGCCCTTGCTGCCCAAGAACCGCGAGGGGTCTTTTGCAGCCGAAGACAAAGCCTTAAGGAGTGCCAGCCAAGACCCGGCACCAGAGTCCCCAGCCTGCAGGTGGCACCTTCCTCCAGTCTCCTCCTCGGCAGCAACCTGGTGGCCTCATTCCCTGGCCTCTGAAAGACCCCAAAGCACACTGCTCCTGCCTCCTGCCCTCCCTACTCAAGTTTTCTTACCCCAAGAGCAGGCAGAACGATGCAGGAAGCATGATTCACAGCCCTTGTGGGCCTAAAACCCAGCAGCGACTCTCCCGGTGCACAGAGCAAAACCCGGGAGCCTGGCCTAGAGACCCAGGGACCACCCGCCCTGCCAGTGGCTCCAGGCTGTTCATCAGGCTGACCCCACTCCTCCCTGCTGCCTTCCAGCCTCAGAGTCCGCAGGCGTGGGGGTCCCAACGGCAGTGCCTGTGCAGGGCGGCGCCTGCCTCCATGAGGATGCGTCTATCTCTTGGGGGGCGGCTCCTCCACCCAGGGTCTGCCCCATCTGTCGCAGAGTCGTGCAAGGGAGGTAGCAGGAGGTGCCTACTGGACTACGCACTGTGGGCGTGAAGCCAAGGACAGATGTGTAAGCCTCGCCCGGGTGACCTCGACGTGTTCCCTTAAGCGCAGGGCAAGGACTCCCAGCACCTCCGAGGCACCCCACGAGCTGGGGCCAGGGAAGGGAGGCGACGCCCAGGGCCACTTGCAGGCCAGCCGGGCCCCGGCTGAACTGGGCTGGGCCTGGCTCTGCCAGCTGGGTGTAGCCATCTCCCTGCGCCTCGGTCACCACGGGCAGGATGGGATGTGGAAAGGGCGAAACTCAGGGAAGGAATGGGCCTGGGCCACAAGCCGTGCTCACGGGGCCCCGGGAGGTGAGGTGAGTGGCAGGAGGTTCCAGCAGCATAAAGACGCACCGGCGTGAGTGTCCGGCAATGAGGAGGCGCTAGGCTTTTGTTTAACAGCTGAGGTCCTCCTCACCTTCCCGTCTAAGGACCAGCCACGCCGATAAGTGGGAGGGTCCCAGAGCCACACGCAAGCCCCAGAGTAGAGAAGAAGTCCCCTCCCTGGCCCGCCTCTGCAACCCTACCCCCTGCCTCCCCTGCTGCCGGGTGCCGTCAGACCCAACTTACCGTTGCTGTGGTTCCCCGTCTGGAGGGAAGCGGGGGGCTGCAGGTTGCTGCCCAAGGCCCCATACCCACGGTAGCTGTAGTTGAGGCCACCGTTGACGTACGCGGGGTCCTGGGAGTAGGAGGCTGGCAGTGAGTAGGTGGAGTGGGCGATGGCCGCGGAGTCCCGCGGGTGCTGCTTGTCCAGAGCTATGGGCTCGTCCTGCGGGGGCAGAGGGCGGCACTGGGGAGCGCAGGACTGGCAGCCCTGACCAGCCCCACGCGTGGACAAAGGACGCGGCCCAGTGCGCCTGGGCCCAACGCCATGGCCTGACCGGGGGGTTCTGTCTGCTCGCCCTCCCGGCCACCCTAGCCCCGGGGGCTCCCCGGCTCTGCTCGCCCTCCATGGGCAGGCATGCCCAGGGCCTGCGGGTCTCAGGGCGAGCCCAGACCTCCTCTCAAGGTCTGCAGGCCTCTGCCTGGGACCCCCCCCCGCCCCGCCAGCTCCGCGGGTGGCTGTGGTGCGGTACCTGCGAGGACTGGTAGATCTCCAGGCGCATCCTCTTGGCTGCCTTCCTCGTCTCGCTCTCGCAGGCGGCGGCCAGGATGTTCTCTGCCATGGCCGAGGTCAGGTGGGGCGGCGTGGGTCTGGTCTGCAGGCAGAAAGGGGACAGAGCTGGTGCGGGACTCGGGCAGAGACCCCTCCCCGGGGGGGCACGGGCCGGGGCGTGGGCTCCAGGGCCCCGATTGTGACCCTTCCAGGCCTCGGTCCCCTCCGCCGAGACCCAGGGGCGCGGCACCTGCCTCTGGGGCGGCTGGGAGGACCACGGCCCGGGCAGGGGCTGGAGCCACACGGCGCCCAGGACAGCCAGGCTCACCATCTCCATGCCGTTCTTCTTCATGCGGCGGCAGGACTTGAGGTACGTGCGGATGCGCTTGCGGGCCCGCTCCTGGAACTCGGGGAACTGCCGGCTGCACGACTCGATGATGGCCTGGATCTTCTCCTTGGGCTGCTTGGAGATGGGCACCATGCGGTCCAGGTTCTCGTCCACGAAGAGCCGCACGAACATCTGCGGAGACACGGCCGTGGCAGGGCTGGCCCCGCCCCGCCCCCCGCCCCCCGGGCCGCGTGCTCACGTTGAAGGCCTTGAGGCGCTCGGGGTCCACGCCCTCGGAGTCGTTCATCTTGTCGTTGTCCTCGTGGTCGTCGTGGTCGTCGTCGTCGTCGTCGG